AAAAGACAAAAAGACTCCCAGAATTCAGCTTTTTTTTTTTCTGTCAGTGTAACAAGCGCAGCAGTCTGAACAGGCTAGATCTGGTAAGTAATTTGTAGTAGTAAATAATGCTAGGCAAAAATTCCCACAAGCTTCTTGTTGAGTCTGCTTCAGAAGTATTACTCATTTGGTGGCTGAAATGCTGGTCTTGCTTCACATTTTTAATGCTTGTGAAAGATTTAAATATTTTCTTGGTAACTGGAGCTCATAGCGTGCTGCAGACCGGAGCTCGTCAAAAGTTTTTGTATGGGGCCATGCTTAGTTGGAAAATGCCACTTGTGTGGGGTGAGAATGCTGCCCCTGGGATGCGTCAGCTCCACTGAAGCCCCAGAGGGAGCTGAGCTGGGGAGCTACAGCCCTGTCCCCACTGCCCTCACCAACCACCCCTCAGGTCACTGCTGGGCTGATCAGACCACTGGTGTGGTGGTAAATGATGGTCTACATCACCAAAATAAGAAGGGAGTAATTCTGGTGTGTGTCCCCCCCTGCTCAAGTCTTCCTCTGCCCTAGAATAGGCAGCCCCCACCTTGTCCATACGGTGGGCTAGGAGCTCTGTGGCTTTCTCCTGCCAGGCTGGTGGAGGATCAGACCTTTCTGGTCCTCCTCCCCAACCCTCCTCAGGTTGCTGTCCCTTCAGGCTACGCAGCCCCAGGGCTTCCTGATTCACAGGGAGTTGGTTTTTTGAGGTGTTAGGGCAGCCAGGAGTACAGCAGCCCTGGGGTTTGTGCTGTCCAGTGATGCAATTGCTTTGGGAGTGAGCTGGAAATATTGTGTGCTGGCTTTCTCAAAAAACCCAGTGTGTCATAAATTCTTCTTCAGAAAAAAAAGGTGATTATTAGTGTTTATTGCTGGCCCAATGCAAAATTTGTCTGTGTCGAAATTACTTTGGGAAAAGTTAGTTAAAAGTGAACCTGTAGAGATCGTTCCAGATGGCTGTTGTAGCCCTTAGTTCATCTTTATCGTCTAGACATGAACAGAGATTTCTGTAGTACAATTAGAGAAATAAGTAATGACTGGAAATTATGTCTTTTTGGGAGACTTAGACTTCTTAGATGTAGGTTGGAGGAAGGTGTGCAGAACTAGGGACCTGTTTCTCAAGGTACCTGTAATCATGGTAGATGAAATACTTATTCACCAAATGATTTCTCAACCAATCCTATTTTAGACTTCATTTTGATGAGAACCAGGGCTTCTGTGGAAGAATAAAAGGAAAAGAAACTTTAAAACAAGTTCTCACAGGACTTCTGTGTTTACACTAAATAGAAGAATAAATAGAAACAGGACTGTACCTAAGGTTCCTGATTTTGAAGAGGAAAATTTTGATAGACTATGTGAATTAATTACTGAAGTCATCTGGATTGAGGAGCCAAGGGGTTGAAATGTGGAGGAGGTGTAGAGTTCTTAAGTTTCAGATGTGGAAACCACCTAAAACTTATATCCCCCAAAAAAGAAAAAAAAAATAGTTGGGAAAGGCCCTGTATCTAATTTGATGGGTAATCATCACGGAAGAGATGTTGTTAGGTAATGCAAGGACAGAGGAAAAAGAGATATCAGCAAGGCAAGTTGTGTCTCAGAAGGCAGGATATGTAGGAATGAAGTAAAAACAAATGAAAGGAGCTTGAGAGAAGCACCAAAAAGTTCTTCATCTAGAAGAAGTGTGGGAAAGAGAAAGGTTCCTGTGCTGTGAAGATGAACTAAAATCTTGTTGAATAAACTGATGATGATCTAGCAACAGGGCAGAGTCTGGGGGCTTACTGAGGGCCTGGAGATGGCAGTTGACCAACCAACGGGGGAACAAAACTCAGGGCAATTAATGGGCTCTAGTCAGGGGAGTAGGATAACTGTTGTTCCAGAATTCAGACAGAACAGGTATATGAAACTGTATGTGGGAATTTCTCGTTAGGAGAAAAGGGACCATGTGAAAAGAATACAGTTTCTCTGGGTAAGAAGTGAGGAGACAGTCACATGGACAAGAGCAGGCCTATTGATCTGATCTCAGGGGTGCAAAGCTTTAAACCAGATCTTGAAGGAAAGACATTTCTTTATAGTACATAGAAATTTTTAAAAAATAATTAATTTTGAACACTTCCTTCTCCCCCCTTTATTGCGGTATGCAAATCTGGTACTTTGATTTGCTGGGAAAATAACATCTTGTACAAAATAACCTTTCTGGATCTCAGTGAAGAATTTGCTATGGTACAACAACGTGTTTGATATGTCCCTAAGAAATCTTTTACTCTGAGGAGACAAATAGGGAAGTAGTGGGGACATGAGGAAGAGAAGAGGAGTGAAGTAGCAGTTCCCTAATCAAGTTTGGGTCAGGTAGTTGTGCTCCCCCCTGCCCCCCATGAACTGACATTACAGTGGGTGCAGTCTGCAGTGCTTAGCAGTTCTGTGCAGATGCAGAAGGCACACACTGTGTGGATTCTCTCTTGTTTCGCTCTTGCCAAAGTTTAAAATATACAACATTTTGGCCAAAAGTATATGTTTTTAGATGGAAAACTCTAACTTGTTCTGGTGTTCAGGGTAGGATTGTAAAATGACAAACAGCTTGGAGAAAGGGAAACTGTAGAAAGGAAGAAAAGACAATGCAAAAAGTAAAAATAGAAAAATATACACCACTCAGGAACATCCTTACTTCCTCTGTGCAGGGGAACTGTTGTGGTTCTGGATCCATACTGCGTTTGGGGGTGAAACTGCTGTATACCACTAACCATTCCTGAAGGGAAGGAAGGAGTAATGTGCACCTCCTCTGCTGCCCCATGGTCCGGGCAGGAAGACTGCCCAGGAAAGAGCACAGTGAACTTTCCTCAAGTGCAGTGAAGGTAGAACGTACTCGTGGCTGCGCTCAGACCCTGTCCTGCAAGCAGAAGTGCAGATGGATGGGTTAGTTCAGGTTTCCGGGAGCCTTGGTTCCCTACATTGCATTTCACTTCCCAGTGTTGCCCCTGCATGTGCTCCCCTTGCACACCAAGGACTTCCAGCACTCACTGGCCTTTAGCTCTCTGAAGACATGAGCACACTTCCCCAGCTGCAAACCTGGACTTTTCACACCTCTTTGGGCCAATACAGGGTAAGTGACGTTCAAAAAACATAAGCTCCCTTGTATCCATCCTTGTGGGACAGGTGCTTGGTCATCAATGAGAAGTGGCTGCACAGTGTCTGTGCAGCTCAAAGAAGTTAGTGAGCCCTAGAGATAAGCAATTCCCTCTGACGTGGCTGCAAAAGACTGTGGTTGGAAGGAGAGGAATTTTTCTGAGAGGCAATAAAAAGGTACGTGCTGATAAAGTCCCTTACAAATACAGAAATTATGTGGGTAAGGCAAAGAAAGCTTGAAACAAAAGAGAGAAGGGTAAGGGCATATTTTCTGGGGGGAAGAAAGTACTCTTCGAAGTACAGAATCAACCAAAGCTGGAGGAAACTGGTTACAGGAGGAAGAAAAGCACATACATCAGGCAGAGGAAAAGCTACGCATGCAAAACTAGTGAGAAAATTAAACCACGGCATGATATATGGTTATTTCTTGTTCTGTGTAGATCAGTTTAAAGCAATGCTTGACTTTGATGTTAGAGATCACTTCTGCAGAGCCCGTGGCTGTCCCTGAGGAGGTGAGCTGAAGCCAGAATGCCTTTGAGAAGGAGCTTTTTTGGACATACAGTGGTTTAGCCACTAAGAGAGTTTGGATGAGCTGGACTCATCATAGGGCAGGTGCTGTTTGGTGGGGGAAGGGATGGGAGGAATTGTACGGGAAATGATGCTGGTAACACATTACCAGAAGTGATGAGAGCACTTAAAAACATTGTAACTGCAGTGCTGGGATCCAAACCAGCTTCCTAGTGAGAAGTGGGCCAGGCCTATGGCAATCATACATACCTCACAATTCAGTGAGTAAGGCTTGAAAGGTTGATGTTAAAAATGCCCTAGGTGAAACAAAAAGAATGGGAAAAAATGGGAAAAAAAAGAATGGTAAAAGTAATCCCAACGCCAAGGTTATTCCATGCCATGTAAGTTCAGTAAGTAGAGTTGAGAGAGCAGAAAAATTTGGCCAGATTCCGAGCTCTTATCCTTGTGCAGAGGCTTATCAGAATCCTTCTGTTTCTATCAGGCTGTTTCTATCCCATGCGTGCATTTCATTCATTGTGTGTTAAAAACTGGAAACTGGAAACACTGCATAAGGGTCAGCAGTAACCTGAGCTCAAAACTCAAAGCTCATCTCTAATCTGACAAGAAAAACAGTGCTATCGTTTTGGGATAAGTGTCTTTTTGCTGGATTCTAGCACAGAACTGAGATGGTCATGGTCAATTGTTGATAATGATGTGCTCAAGGAGACACTCCTTGAGCTAAGTGGAAGCAGCTAGAAAACCTGTTTCAGTAAAGCTCCTCTGGCTCCGTCAGTAAAAAGTAGGAACGTATTTGCACAAGCATATTTTCTGCAATTTCCTCTCTGCTTTTCAGCTAGCTCAAGCCTTGTGGGGTGGCCAGGCTGTCATGGGTTTGGGGATTATGTTGGTCTTTCTGCTTCCAGCCTCCTGCTGTTCTCAGCAAAGTGTTTACCCTGGGGTGAGGTCCCACTCTGAAGGCAGTGGGACGTAGCTGAGCTCTTTGTGAAGTCATTGCTTTTTTAAGGAGGGTAAAGCTAAGTCACGATAAGGTTCCAGCTTTTGATGTTCACAATTATATGTGTGACAAACAAGGACTCTGTAAACAGAAGTATGTACAACCATATGTGGACTGAAGCTTTGATCAACTTTGCAAGAAATATGCTTAAAGAAGCTCTCCAGATGTAAATTGTCCATTGAAACAGTTAGTTTAATGTGTCTTACATTTACCAGTGAGTTTACAGCAATGCGCCCCCTTTTCATGTGTTTGCATTTCCCAAAACAAAAGCAATCTTTGGAAATAAGTCATTTAACTATCATAATAAAGCAATGTTATCTTCTTTTCACAGATGGGAGAACTGAAGGAGCAGAGTTGTGAAGTTATCTGCTCAAAGGAGGCCAGTGACAAATCCAGGAATAGAAGCCAAGTCTCCTAAGTTGCAGCTTAATGCCATCTAATACTGTAATCAACAAGAAAGTTTGCCTTCTGATGTTACAATGAGGTATGCCATAGCAAAATCTATATATTAATAATTTAACCAAGGGAACACACTTGAATGTGTATGTTTGCCTATGCTCTTGTAAATAATTCAAAAGAATTCTTTGAATTCCAATTCTGAATTGAATTTCTAATACTGTTTTCTTTATAGCTGGGCATTTTTTTCACAAATATTTCTTTGCAAGTCATGTTTAAAACATACAGTTCTCAAAACCTGACTTATTAAAATTACCAATGTTAATGTCCAAAAATATCCCAGAGTAGCTTCAATAATTCATATTTCTAGATATTCTAGAGTCCAACTGTAGGGTTTTCTTCAGGATCCTGAGCACCTAAGCTTCAGCTTGCCCTTATAGAAGACAGTGGATAGTTGTCATCTCAGAAAAAATAAATAAAGTTGTGTATTCCCAATGAGGATGTTCTTAGCATTGAAAATCACTCTTGGAAATATTGCTATAAATGTGCTGGAAGCATCAAAAGCTCAAGTCTGGCTTCAGTTTAGCTGGAGGGGAGACTACTCCAATAGACCCAGGCAACAGAGGTACTATGAATATGGAAGCCCATTACAGAGCCTCACTGCCTGGCGTATTGAGGAGCATTTGTCACAGTTTTGGCAAAGGTACAGCTTGCTTTCTGTCTCTCCAAGCTATGTCCTCCTATATCGGTTCAGGGACTTGTGGACAATACTGCTCTTTGAGATGCTAATCTTTTGGGGTGTTAAACACAATAGCTGCATTAGTAGCTGTTTTTTCTTGCACTGGAGGGTTTGAAGCAGTGCAGCAGCTTTTTGTGTAGGATAGGGAGGTTTTCCTTCTGGCTTTCACCTCAATCTGATATAATAATGCTGTGGGCTTCCCAAAATAGTGCTAGTGTCCAACACTGAAACATCATTGAAGCATCGTCTTAGTAGTAGGTAGCTTGTTGATTTATTAAGAGCAAATATTAAATCAGATTGGAAAACTATATTACTTCTACAACATACTCCTTATAGCATCTTTACAGTTTCCAAATCTTTATTTTCAATAGTTTGCCTGGACACTGGTAGTGAGCATGCTCAGAGAATATGTCAGCTTAGCTGCAATCAAACCTATAAAGCATCTGCAGTTCATCCCTGTTTCTCCCACCAGCAGGTGTCATTCTGGAAAAAGGAAAATATTGTAAATTCCTGCACTGGAGAATTTGGCTGTGACAAAGAAAAAAATTGTGTTTGCTTGAAATATAGCTTTTGAAGGATACTTTACTCCAAATAAAAACCAAAAGAAAGTTGAATGGACTGCATTTTTAAATTATCTTTGTGCACCCTATAATCCTGACATACAACCAACAAAGGGCAGGCAATTGGTAAGGCAAACTGATGTCTAGATAAAGCTGTCTTCTGCTTTTTACTGTTCTCTGTGACATCTTCATCACTGCTCACTTACCCCCCATGACTAAAAAAATCAGTAGTGTTCATCCATCTTTAGGGTAGGCTTTTGTCTTTAGTTCCCCCAAAGGAAACACAGAATAAAGGTGTGGAATTCAAATCTCGTTTACTTCAAGGGAAGCTTGAAGCAATCTCATTGAAGCCACCAAAATCAGGAGAATTGCTTGGGATTTAGTGTGAAGTAGCCAAAAGTAGTATTTCACTTTCTACTCCATAAATAAGCCTCAAGCAGAAAATAATCACATCATAATTTTAATGTATATTTTAATATTTATATTTTCCTTTAAGTGTTCATCTGGGTATTAGCTGCGGCCTCCTTTAATATGAAGAGTTTCTTTTTGATTTCTCAGAATCACGGTGAGAAAGCTATAGCTGAATTATAAAGAACCAGAACCCTGCTGGTTCATTGCTGAGGGCTCCTGGTCTACCAAGTCCAGTCTTCGGGCTGTTAAAAACAAACTTACCATGAAATTCCATGCAGAAGGTGTCTTGCCCACCCTATGTTCTACTGGAAATTTCTTCCAACCCATCACAGCCTTGATGATTATAAGTCTTATTTCTGTATTTCAGCCTAAATTTATCCACTCATGTCAATTTTGTCCCTTTACATTCAATAGCTTCTCTAAAGTGCTACTAGGAAGGCCTGTTTGCTATATGATGCTCCACCAAAACTCCTCCTGGAATGAAAAGAGTGTTTGCTTGAGGAAAGACAGGAGAACAATTTTCAAGGCTTGGCTGTGAGGGAACACATTAAAGTGGGAATTAATTTTACATTTTTAGAATTTGTAAGGACAACAAAGTGATGTAAAATAAGTGTATCATAGACAGCCATGTCTTTTTCAAGAAGTTATTTAACTATGAATGTCATAGTGCCTTTCTGGTGATCAGTATCAGACACTCGGTTGCTGAATGAGAAAAATTGGCATATAAACTTAGAATTAAAAACTTCACTCTAAAATAGTTAAAAGCTGTAGTCTTGGATTTGCATGAATGCTGTGTTAGTGTTTTCTGACCTTTTGAGTATTTGACTTTGAAAATGCGGTAGTTTTCTAAAATTTGAAGTAAAAAATGTAAGATTATTGTGATTGGGACTAGTTCATTATGCACTTTATTTTTATGGGACCTAGATAACAAGCGGTGATGATCTCCAACAGGTTTTTGTACAATAAGGTATAAGATTTAACCAAAATTTTATATAACAAAGTAAGAGTTTTAGACAAAATTATTTCTTTGGAGTTTCTGACAATTTTTTTTCATCATGTTTTTAGTTAAATGAAATAATATAAAATATTGTTTTTAAAAATGTAATTTTAGTATTTTATTTTATTAATTTTAGAAGAAATGCATGTGGCTAAAGATAGACCTCCTGTGTCATTTTAGGGCCCCTGGGAGAACCCCTCTGGCCTCTCACTGCCAGTTCAGAAGTGGGGGTCTCCTGCAGGTCCCGCGTTGTATCTGCCAGCCCTGTGCAGATATCCCTGTACTGCTGTCTGGGACTTCTCGTCAGGAATGTAGCAGTCTGGTGTTCAAAAATGTTGGGAGTCTGGCAAAAGTGGGCTTAATTCATCAGTTTTGGGCATGATGCAGCAAACTAATTTCACTGAAGAAAGCAGTAATTTCAGGTTCCAGGGCACTCAGCTAGAGGGAAATAGAGAAATACTTGCATTATTTACATAGGCATTTAGAAACCTGTGTTAATCAGATCCATTTTTGATGATTTATTGAGTCAGGGGGAAGTTAAAAACCTTGAATATATTAGTCAGTGTAATTATATATGAATTGTAGAATGTGGGGTTGAGCGTTACTGAGTTTTTCTGTTATAACAAGAACAATTCATTGCATATAATGTATAAAAATTATATGTTATATATGTAAATATATATATAACCTGTTAAATTAAAATTAAAGCTATTGGAAGGTAGCAAATTCTTGATAAAATTCACCACAGGCATTAATTAGAATTGTGTAGACAGAGAACACTTTCTCATGAACTTTTTTTAATCAGTCACTAGCATTATGATTGATAGGAATTTGGACTACTTTTGCAGAAGTTTAAAAAATGAAATTGTTACAGAAAAAGGCATGATGTAGGGTGACTTACAATGCAATCATAAAATCTGATTTAGTAGTGTACAATATTAATTTTATAATTCGTGAATGACGCAGGAAAACTGTTTTCATAGTCTTTTTTTTTTATTTTGTAAAGTCTTTATCAATCTTTTTCAGGATGAACCCCCAAGGCACGGCTGCAATAGTTGTTTGAAACAAGAAACAGCCTCTTGGTGTCATTCATTTCACTGATCCCTGGGAATCTGAGCCTGAATGAAGGTGAAGGAAGACTCCTACAGAGAACTGGGAACGGTTTGTCCCATAAGAAGGGCATAATAGAATTTTAACATTTTTAGCAAATACCAGGGCAAGTGATAAAAGTTTATGGATTGGGAATTAATTAGATGATTGTTAAATGGTAAAGAATGTGCATTATGGGAAGCCTTGGAGAGCTACAGCCTAAGCGTCCTGAAATTTGTGACCAAGCCCACAAAGTACCTCTATTTGCTTTTTAATATTTGCAGTTGTGTTAAATTTTACTGAGGAACAGCTTAGTTTGGGGAAGCCATTGCACTATATCCTAACTGTGGTTCTTGTTGCTTAAACAAGAAGTTCCTGAGTATTTGTCCCAAATACCAGTATTTTTACTCCACTGGCAGCTAATTGTGATCACCCTATGGCAATGTATGCAAAGAATGTATACAGTGGCAGTGCCTCTTCCAGAGAGTACCAGTAGGAAAACTGTATGTGGTCAACCCACATGTAGTTCTTGTTGGTGGAGGCCTTACCTACACAGCACTTAAATGATGCTTTTTGTTTCTGGATAAGATGAAGTAAGAGACAGAAACCATTCAAAAGCCATTGCTTATGTTCCCTGAAACAGGCTAAAAAGAACAGCTCTTCTGAGACACAGCTTTACACTGAACATACGCAGAGCTCTGTGATTATTAATTCTGAAAATGTGTTTACAATGGTTAGGTAAAATATTTAGTTACTATTTAAATATTTTGATGTATTATAGCCCATAGATGGATTTTAGATGTCTACTGCACTTAACATTTCCAATTTAAATAACTGGTTTCATTAAGATTTTTAGTGATACAAATTAATAACAAAAGGCAGTTAATACAGAGTACAGTTATGAGACCAAAATACATGTGGTTTAAATTTAAAGAATTAAATGTTAGCATTTCCCTATAGAGAAAGGTTATTTGGGCAGTGGTGTACTGACATTATCACCACCCACGGAGAAGGGGACCTGTTGATCCTATTGGTTAAACAGAAATTCAAAAAAGGAAAATGAGGGTTTGCTTAGTGTAAGTGAATCACACAGGAAAAATGCTGATACCCAGAGTCGTCGTAGTGACCTTCTTTGATGGTTAGAAAGAGAAATAAGCACGCAATATTTTTGTCAAGTTAGAGGGTTTAGGTTGCTTGCTAGGTAAAATCAGTCTTGGTTATTAATATAGTGGAAAGTTAAGTGATGACCATGGAAATATGATAATAAGTGCTGTTGTAAATTAGGCAGAAATTACTTTCCGTGGCCAGTAAGAATGATAATCCAATGTGTTAACCACTGGGCTTGAAGGGCTGCTAAGAAAATAAATGTGGAAAGTGGATAAAATAAAGGACAAAAATATGTTTAGGTAGGTGTTTCTTCAAAGATTTCTTCAGGAAGGTGTTTCTGCTTCTACCTTACTGCTTCTGACAAGTCATGTCTGTTAAGATGAAGGTAAGCAAACAGCATTCATTTAGCAGTGAGTAGTGCTATCTGCATCTCCGGATTTCTCTTTAAGCAAACCCTTATAATAATGTCATTGGACCTAGCTAGAAACAAATCTATTAAAACCCACAATTACTAATTTGCCACTATTTAATGTTAGTTTAATCTGACAACTCGGGGTCGGCTTCACCTATTATTCCTGGAAGAAACTAGATAAAATTGGGTCGTTTTGCGAAATGTCATGCAGACACGGGACTGCAAAGAGAAGCCAGGTCTCAACATCACTGCAGGTAGGGAAAGCTCATCTCTGACTGACAGCTTGAAAATGGGCTGAGCTAAACCCCAGGCTACCAGTGCTCTGCACTTCGGCTCTTGAAACTTTCTGGCTGAGATACAGTTTCAACCTGAAAAGTCAAAATGCAGTGGTTTACAATCAGTTTTGCTTTGTTTGAAGCTAAAACTCAAAGCAAAACTCTCAGGGCATAGAACTGTACGAAGCAAAACATAAGAAAGTTAACACGAAAACTCTGCAAACTGAGCAAGCTAGTTTCACTCAGCTCTTGAATTAATTCCCTTTTTGCAAGTTCACTTTTCAGTCGCGCGTGTGAGCTGTCAGAAAGGCGGTGGTTTCACTACCCCGCGGCCCGGACGGACGCCGCGGCTCTGAAGCATCACCCTCCGGCAGAGCAAGGTCTGGCGCTCTCGCTCTCTGTCTGGGCTGATACTTTAGATACCTGCCAAGAGACGAAATTTCCTCAGTCCCAGGCTAGTTACGTTTAGCTTTGTTCATCTGTAAAACAAAGGATTTTGGGGTAAGACCCAAATCCCATTCTATATGTTTTTTTTTTTCTTTTATAGTTGTATCCAGCTCTGAACTTGTTTCCTAAATCTCTAATAATGCTCTAAATGGCACCCAGTCCCAAAATGGCAGGAGTCACTTACTTCACCTCTGAGGGGTCATCCAAGGATTTGTGTGTTTTAGAGTTCAAAGCCTGGTATTTCAGAGCACCTGCTGCTCTTCCTAGGTAGTGTGGGAGCTGCAGGAGCTCATGCCCTTGTGAAGATCAGACCCTTCCTCCTGAGATACTCTTCTTTGCAGTGAAGCGATGAACCATCCTTTGTGCTGCTTTCACTTTTTTTGGTTTTTTTTTGGTAAAATTTTAGTGCAACTGGCTTGAAACAAGCCTATGAACTGCATTGAGACAGAGACACTTCTAGCACAGTGTTCCTGAGAGTGTATATGTTCAGACTGGTCAGGACTCCTTTGTTTGCTGGGCAGCTCATCCATCTCCTTTACCAGAAAATATTGAGAGCCTGAACTCCTGAGCTTCCAGAATTGTCACTGATGAAGAAGCAAGGCTTCAGCAGCAGTCAGCTTCTCGATGTAGATCTCAGACTTTCTTCACTAAGAAGAAGTAGAGTGAAGTTCAGAAAATTAAAAAAAAAAAAAGAAATCAGATAATCAGTGATCTTGCATGCGTATATTCTGCTTATTCATATGTCAAATTTTCGTGGTGAACCAATACCCAGGAAAGGGCAGGGCGCAAGGGGAATGGCTGAGTTTGAAGGTTTAAGGGTATGTTGAAACGCAGCTCACAGACTGAGTTACACGAGGATTATTGAGTGGAATTTACAATAAAACGGCTCACCTCTGCACAAGAGTGGATTTTATATGGTGTGAGCGTAGGTTACAGAAGAAAAAACACATTGGGCTGTTGGTGGAAGGCAAATATTATGTGACTCTGAATCTCACTTGGTATTTTAAACCATGAGAGTTTCAGATTTGAGTCATAGTAATCCGTAACTAGGCTATATATGCACATGTATAGCACGCAAGCTGTAAGCAAGGCTTCTGCCTTGGGGTTATTTTCCCCTCAAATTGCAGATTTGGTTTTGTGTTATTGTAAATCATTATAGCCTCAATAGAAAGTCACAAGTCAGATTAGATGTTTCCAAAATTTGAAAAGAAACCTGAACTTGAAACCCTTGCAGTCTTCTGTTTTATTCTGTGTTTGGCCACGTTGATTTTCAGAACCTTTGTTCCATCAAACCGTGTTCCCCCTTTCTTACACCTCTGCTTCTCCATGGTGCTTCCTGCATGGAGCTGGCATCAGAATTTGTCCAGCCTCTAGTTTACCCCATCAGAGCACTTGGCAGTATCTCATCTTTCATTAGAAGCAGAAACTTTCTTAGCACTGCTCAAACAGCACCTTTAACCCATGATCTTTATTGGAAAACTCCTCTAGTCAGAGCAAGAGCTGGAGAAGATGGCACACGAGTGCCTGCTAGGAGCCCCAGAGGCACGTGTGGGAAGAAGTTTTTTTTCTTCTTTTGCCTTTTAATTCAGCACTTTGGCTTAAAAAAATGCATCTAGCCAAGCTGTGCAAAGAGTGACTTGCTGAACAGAAGACTGTAAGGTAGTATTAGAGGCTCTCCTTAAAAGAAAATGTGCTTCAGCCTAGAGAACAATCCCACCACAAAATAAAATTAACTTTAAAAGTAATGAGATTTTCCACTGTTAACTTAATAGCAGCAAACCACATGTTCTAAACAATGTTTTAATTTTTTTTTTTTTTTTGGTGTGTATAAGGACTCATTTCTAGTAACCAACCCCAGACTATTAGCCCTGCCATTTTTCCACTGCTGGAGGAAAACGTGGACTCTTGCTGAGTTGTACAGTGAATATCTCAGAGCTATTTGAATCTGCCACCAATAAAAAGGCCTCTCAAATGCTAGCATAGAGGAACCAGTTCAAGGTAGAGGAAATGGAAAAAAATGGCAAAAAGGAGAAACATCTCTTTGGATCTTTAGCTCTGTTATTTTTCAGATTATATTTCTTCTGGGCTCCCAAAATCTTCAGTAACAAACAAGTTTTCTTTTAAAAAGTATTAAGTTATCAAAACATTTGCCAGGTCCTAATATTAAATCCTAGCAGTCAGCAATGTTTAAGTTCAGCCATATCATTTTGCTGAGTAAGTAATGCTAAAACTTAAAGTTTTCCCCTCGAAATGATCTTTCCAAATGAGATTGATATTGTGAGAAGAAAAGAAAAAAGAGAAGGACGCCTTCATCCTTAGGAATTATGGAATTAATTTTCTTTATACACTCTGTTTGCACAAGACATTTTTGTTAACTCTTAATAAAAATACCATTCAGCTGCTACTTTCATTGTTTTTATCCTGGGACCAATACAACATTGTCATTATTGGATATAAAGTGCTGTAAAAACAAATCTAATTTGTTAAGTTTATTTTGATAAGAAATAAATATAAAGGTAGTGCATAGTTTGTACAGTGCTGCTATCATAGGACTCCTGGGTATAATTTATATAAAGAAAATAAAAAAGCATACATAACTTTCTAGTTGATTTCCTTTAACAGGGCTAATTGAAAACAGTTTCTGTTATTTAAAAGTAATTTATTTTAAATATACTTTTTAAAACAAAGTTCTTATTGATATCCATTTTAAGTATAATATTATCTCAGTGTGGGATACAAGTAAAAGGTCAAATCTTGTAGGAGTATTTTCTGTATGACTCAGTTCTGATCATAGATAAACTTATCAGGGAAACCAAATTAGTTAACCTTTTCAGTACCAAAAGCTTGTTTTAACAGGCCACGACGGTTTCTTTCACAAATGCTGAACTTCAAAGCTCATACTTTTGTTCTGAAACATGAAAAAGAGAGTGCTAATTTCCCTTTTCTCTATCTGATGAAAGGCAAAGGCTAGTGATTTTAACATGAGGTTAGACTTGTTGAGATTCAGTATATAGGTACAGAAAGCAATACATTATTAATTTTCAGCCCGGAGTTGTTGTGCACAGTGGTACAGCAACAAAAATACACATTTTTTTTCTCCACTTTGATTATGCCTTTAACTTATGGACATTGTTAAGGAACGTATTTTTTCTTGTCTGGTAGCACCATCCTTATGTATGGCCCTGATTACTGGAGCACTGAAAGAGGCTGTACGAACACAATGGCTGTATGTGGCATATCTCTAGGAACCAGCCTCTTTCCATGTTGCTTGATAGTTGGTTCAATTCCTGTCTGGTTAACTGGTGTGTGACATTTCTCAGAAGTCCCTTCAGCTCTGCTTCCTTTTTTGTTCCCATCACAGCAGCGCCAACGATTCAATGCCTTGGGTTGCTTCAGTACATGTAGTCGAGCTCGACACCAGAAACTGCCCTTCTGTCTTAAAGCCAAATCCAAAGTGACTGAAAGGCTTTAATGGACTTCAGATTTGGGACCACACTCATGCCTGAGAAAAACTCTCCCAGGCGTTCATGAGCTGAAGGCCTCTTCATGGCACTTGGGCAATCTTGCCTCTATTTAATGCACGATTTAATGTGGCAGCTGGGGAACGGGTTGACTCACGATGGGTTTTGCCTGCAAACTCACTCCTGACGCCTTTCCTCATTCTGCATAGTGTTCACTCCCACTGACTTGCGTGAAGAAGTTGAACTCCAAGGGATTAAAAGTGGTGAAGTCTTTCTCCAAACAGCTCCTGGAGAGCTACATTTCAAACATTATCAAGAACTCTTGAGACGCAAATATTAATGATATTTCTCATATTCAGTGAAGTAAAAATATCCAAGGGTGAGGATATCTAGAAATCTGGTTTTGAAGGTCAAAGCACAGACAGCAGTAGCTGAGCTGGAGGAGGAGACTGGTTCTGCACAGCAAAAACTAAAAGCAAAAGTCTGTAAGGCGTGTCCCAAGCTGAACTCGAATGGGCTTGGGGTGGAAATTTTGTCCAGCCCTGGTCATATGCAGAGAAACATTCGTCTCATGCTGGCAGTGGCAATGAACTTTTTTTTTTTCACCATAATTTACAAAATATGAGCAACTAGGTAGTTAAAGCATTTCAATTCTTCCATGAATGGAATAATTTTACATGGTATTTTCTAAGCAGAAAAATAACTGGCGCTTGGGGAATTACTTTGTCACTCTCACAGAATGTAATTTCATCCAAACGGGCAAACTAATGCAATCATCCAGGCAGATAATGCAGCACACTCTGCATACATGGGCAGTGAAGATAGCCTTTTATTCCATGAACAAGAGATGATTGCTCCGGAAAACTTGCTGGGTCACTTTTAATTATTAAGAGAGCAAATTCATGGTTTCTTTGTGGACTAGTCACACTGTATAGTAATTTCTTTTTTGTTCTGTTTAAATTTAGATTGGTTATTCATACTTCCTGGCAGTGGTTATAAGAGGAGGATGACTGAGAATTTGGTAGGTGAGTTAATCTCGTTTTTACTGTGTCTCTAGAGCCACCCACTTTCCCTTCATATGACTTGACACCAAGAAGTCTTGCAGAGCGAGACCCAAGTGCTGACCTCCTGCATCCCTCCATCTTCTCTTCTACCCTATTTTTGCTGCTTCCCCTTTTTCTTCTGTACATTTCTCATTTTTCAGCCCCTCTCACCAGCCCGACATTTGGGTCACCTCCACACATGCCTCCTGCCTGCAGACACCTGGTGGGATTGACGTCATTTGAGGCCGAGGAGAGTGGTTAGGTGGCTCTGCTGACTCAATGGGGTGAAGCCCTGAGGTCCCCAGCAAAACCCCATCTCCAGCCCCGTACCCTGAAAAGGAGCATGCTCTTAATATCTGTAAGGAGTTGCTCAAACATCAGAACTGCTGAAGCCCAGTGGATTTGTATAACGGGTGAGCAAAAACTAGTGTTGAAGCCACTCTCCATGTGGAAGTGTTAATCGCTCCTTCTCCCTGCAGTGGGTGTCAGGGGACTTAATAACACATAGGTTCATACCACAGCCCCACTTTCAGTCCAAGTGCTCGTAGAGGTTATGTATGGGTCCCCTCTCTTCTATTTGGCCCATTATTTTCATGCAGCTTTTAGAAACCCTGCTAACTTTGAGATTCTTGTCTCATTTGACTCCTCTGGCCAAGGAGTTCAGCCAGTTTTCAAAGGAGAGAGGCACAGACGTGCACACACAGACACTGAAACTGCTTTACAAAGCAGGGCTAAGTTACTGACAACAGAAATCTTTTGGTGTTGTTGGTTATTGGTTTCACTAGCCATTGGTGAAGATTTTCAGTGGAAGCTTTACCCCAGCTGTGCTGTCTCGAGATGTTTCTTTTTCTGACTTACACCAAAAGATGATCAAAACAGGCCTGGGGTGCATTACCAGTCTCATTATGTGAGATAATGAGAATAAGGGAGATTGCAGATGACTCAACGCATCTTTTAACAGTTGTATTAAGAAATTATCCTGATGTCAGAGAAGTACACAAACCCTCTGTGATAAATCTTCCTGGTGCACCTCACAGCTTCTGAGTTCTGCTGTACACTCTCCAATGCTTCTGCTCCTAAAAAAAATATAAAATCAGCTTTTAAATAAAGCACTGCTAAAACGTAGCGTCTCGAAAGTCACCATTTAGGGATTGGCTGGGGAGGCAGTACCTCTCCCCACTGCCACCCCACGTCATGGGTGTCCTGTGTGCCCAGGGCTCCCTCTGATCACGAAGTGACAGCCCGGCCCCAGGCTTTGCTCAGCAGCTGAGCACACGCTCCCTTTTCTGCTGCAGCCCTACGGTGAGCACCACTGCCATGCTGCCACGCTCTCATCCTGCTTGGGGAAACAGCTTCCAGGCTGTAGCAGTCAAAACTGGAGAACTTTAATGCCTAGCAGGGCTGTTAAATGCTAAAATGGTCAAATAACACTCAGGTTTGTAGGGAGAGGTGTTAGTTTTGAGCTGGAGGAAGGTTATTCTATTTCTCCCCCAAATACATCTGTTGGTCTCAGAAAGATATTATCTCTTTCCACAAACCTCACCACACTTACAGCACTAGACTATCCTGGCTGCAGCAACAGTAAAAGTACCTTCAGCTTTTTATTTTCTTTTCCATTTCAAGCCCTCTAAATTATACATTGACATTCTCACTGCTGGCAGAAGAGGAGTGTATCTCACGATGTTCCTGTCTCCGTGTGGGACACGTGGCGTGATGTTGAAGAATGTGCCCATAGCAGTGCAATGTGGATTTCACCTGCAGCCAGGTATGAGGAGTGAAAGTTGCAGCTGCTGCCAAAGGATGGGTTCATAAAGAAGTTGGATACTTGGCATCAAGAATGAGGAGCTGTGAGCGTTTTGAAGGATCAGGGCTTGGAGATTTCTTTTGGCTTCAGCTTCGTGCAAAGCTGGAGCATCTCCCACTGACAAAGAAATCAGCCTTTTTGTCTGAAGTGATAAACAATTGATTGAGGGTTTCTGCTTCCCAGTGCCTTTCCGTTCCTCAGCGCGGATGTCCATCATTAGTGATTATGGACTTTAAGCCTTTCCATAATTACTGTGGTTGCAGTTCTGCAAGTAGGAAACAATAGTGAGATACGATCACTGAGCGTGGTCCTCTCATGTTTGTGGGTTGTGCGGTCTTCTCTAAATGTTGACTAAACACAGTGTCCCACCACAGCTGATTTTTCCCTACAATATATTATCTCTAATAAAGCTGAAGCCATGCAATTCACCCATTGCCCTCCCACTGCATTTTTTTGTGTTCTGAGAACAAAAAAATCAACCTCTTTTTTTTTTTGTTCTTTTTTAGATGGGGGAGGCAATATATATATGCTTTTAATGTGCTCTTAGACTTATTACCCAGCTGCAGAAAGTGCTCTAGTACACAAGAGACGTGTTTATGTGTCTGGTCATCTCTGGAATGCGTAGCCACCGAGGGAAAGGCTGGGAAACTCTTGCAGGACGGCTGTGCTGATGGTGACCTGCCAGCACCGACAGCCTCATCTCTGATGGTGGAGAGGGAACACGGGTCCCTCTGCAGTGCTAAGGATCTCCAAGCCAGCTTGGAGCTCACAAGCTGGAAGGATGCTCTGTACATCTCCTGGAGTTCGCTTGAGCCCCTTAGCGCCTTACAGCCAGCACTCAGCAGTTTGTAGGACTGGGCTTCTGCCGGCTGAAGGGAAAAAAACCCCCTCATTTGCCCAGGATTTCTGTGTGTGCAAAGGGCCTACTAGAAAACTGTCGAAACTAAAGTGATCACACATGTCCTTCAGCTTAGGAGAAGAGAGCTCTAAGTGAGAGCATGTGTGTGCTGACTCTCGGGCTGAGAAAATGTCAGTCTGATGTGCTTGGGAAGTTCATATTGATACAAACAGGGAGGCTCCCTGCTGCCCACAGATTTCCCACATAAAAGTCCTACTGGTAGCCGTGGGAACTTAGCAGCAGCCACGCTGTGGCTAAAGTCACCACTCTAAAAATGTAGTGAAATTAGTGTTCATAAAAGTGAAAAACACGCCACAAGAATGAAGATGTTCTGATTCACAGCCATGAAAATTACATGAGTTCTGGCATAAAAAAAAAAAAAAAAAAGCTAAATTTTACAGTTATTCTGGCTTCTGAAAGGGATTGCTGGTGAATTTTTAAAAAGTTCCTGTGAGCAAAAATCTTTGGCTTTTTGCAAATCAATTTGTTGCACCAAAACATAAAAAAAACCCCAAGCCGTGCCCATGGTGTGACACTGGCCCTGCTCACCAGCCCCGTGGAAAGGGCCGATCCTGTGCTGCACAGTGGCCCCTAGTGAAACTGAGTAGTTTGTTCCAGAGTCTGCGAAATAATTTCCAGCAGCTGGGTTGTTACTAATTTCAGTTCTGCCTTCCGATCTGACTGTCACCTCACTCAAACTATGCCACTCGCTTCGTGTATTTTTAAGGCAAATAAAAAAAATCCCACGGGAGGATACTGATGGCCCAACAGACTTATCCTAATGTAAATTGCACATGACCCAGAGGCAAAGGTAATACTAGCAATAATGCAGTTGTTTTAACAGTATAATTTAGCACCATTTTCAGTTTGAAGTTCCCTTTTTTGACTTCTGCTATGCTTTTCATAAGGAGAGGGGATGGCTATGCTGACTGGGACTCTTGCTGCTAGAATTTGGACTTGTATGTTGTATTTCTGTTCCAATTAGAGGGACTCATCCTCAAACAGGTACCCTTTTCCCTGACAGCTTTTTTTTTTCCTGCACCACAAGCATTTGAAACATCAGCTCCGTAGTCAAAGCATTGGTAGAGGCTCTCTCCCTGTGTTCTATCAAGCCTGTTTTCCTTGTTTTTCCAGGAGAGGTGCCATGAAATGATCATGGAGTCATAGAATCATAGAAAGCTTTGGGTTAGAAGGAAAGAAGGAACCTTAAAGGTCATCGAGTTCCAATGCCCCTGCCATGGGCAGGGACACCTCCCACTAGAGCAGGTTGCTCAAAGCCCCATCCAGCCTGGTCTTGAACACCTCCAGGGAAAGGGCATCCACAACTTCTCTGGGATGACAAAACTTCTCTGGGCAACCTGTTCCAGTGCCTCGCCACCCTCACAGTAAAGAATTTCTTCCTAATATCTATTCTAAATCTCCCCTCTTTCAGTTTAAAACCATTATCCCTCGTCCTGTCATGAGCATCCTCCTCTCCTTGGTCCCCACGGTGTTCCCTCTGCCGCTGTGCCGTCTTGCCGAGCAGCCCCTGAGCTGACCCCTTGTCCAGCTGGCTATTGTGCTGGCTGGACAGACACCACCTTCCCATCCCCACCCCCACGTCGGCAACAGCTTATGACAGCAGCAATCTTAAAAATAAAACAGGAAATGATTTCAATAGGGGATGTGGTGGCTGAGAGAGAAAAGTGGAGTAGGTCTGAAGCGCAGTTGTTCTTTCATGTGAGCACCGGGGCCCTGCAGAAACGTTCCAGGGGAATGTGTGTTTGTGCAGCCTTTCATGTGGCAGAGGGACCTGTGCTTGTTTTTGTTGTTGCTGCTACCAAGGCCTATTGTGGTGGCTGTCCTTGTGACCTGGGTCCGAATGCTGCCGGTCGCCATGCAGCAGCATTTTGCTGGGGCTGCCTGGCCCGGGGGCACTGTTGGCTCATCCTTCTTAGTCCATGGGCATTGCCCGATGTTCTGGCCTGCTTTAGGGCCACCCTGATAACCCCTTGACTTCAACATCGCAACTACTTCCTTGCATTGCCTGCAGCTGGGATAGCTGAGGTCTGGCCGGTAAATAATTCACTTGTCCTCCACATTCCAGTACGAGATACCATTTGGTCTGGTGCTTGAAGGAAACACCTATCCAATCTGCTGTTTTTTTATGAAAAGAACCTTTAGCGCCTGATTGAATTATTGAATAGGAAGGCTTCAGATGCCCTAGTCCTACATGTTGCTGTGGGCTCTTCATCCTCCCTGTTTTCTCCCTGGAGATAATCTGGAAGGCAGTGGTCTGGGTGAGCGCTGCCCCGGGAACACCGAGCAGCCGGAGCTTCTCAGGCTAAAAGATGCTTCTTGGCCTCAGAAAGCTGTTTTCTTGGAGGTAATGTCTTGGGCTTGGAAATGCACTTTTGGTCTGCTTCCACCAGCTTTGTATTTATAGTGAACATTTATTTCTCTCACCAGCTGAGTTAAGTGTTTTTTCCTGTACCATTCAAATGCTTGGAAGAGAGGTTCAAATCCTTCTCTGCCTTCAAACACAAACATACCATATCTGGGTCAGGAAGTCCCTGACCTCCAAATCACTGGAGGTTGACAGAGTATATCATGGTAGTTTTATTATAGGCTTGCCCTGCTCTTGTACTCTTCCCTAGTCATCTGCTATTGCCAGCATTAGAGACGGGATATTGGGCTAGAGGGACCTTTGGTCTGACCTCCTATGGACATTTTTATGGTCTTTTGTCTTTATCTGGGGCCTCTAGAGGCTAATAAAGATTTTGTAAATATAAGGAATTCATTGTGATCCAAGAAGATGTCGTGAGCATAGGAGGGCTCTCCCAGCCCCGCGCTCCCTGGGAGCAAAGGTCTGATAAGAGAAGTGGGTGTCTGGCAAGTGCTGATGAAACAACTTCCAAAGTCTATCAGTTATTAGATAGATGGTCCTCAGTGGGTAATGAAAATAACTGTTGCTGGACACTTCTTAGCATACACTTCTTCACAGAGTGTAGGATTTAACAATTTTATACAGTATGAAATCTATCATTTAGGTTTGCTTCTAGCATTGGCCCACAGCCTCATTGGAAACAGCAGATCTACCTATCTCCTTTGGCTTCTTAGTTGGTTTCTTCAAAGGTTAAAGAGATCTCCAAAGAGGTCCCATGGACCCCTTGCCCAGCCCTGAAGGCCTGCTAAGAAGCATGGGTACCAGTGCTGCTTGTTCACTGTTATCTAAGTGGAGCAACACCAATATCATGAAGCTGTGCACGGGTGTCGGGCTCGCTGAGACACATAGTGTTTGTGCTGCTGCTGGAGATGAGCTCTGAGATATCTTCAGTGCACCAGGAAATGCCAAGGGGGGTTTGAGACAGCAGAAAAGCATCTACCGAGACTCCTCTGTGACTTGTTTTCTCTTCTGCCCCACTCTCCTCTATGCTTGGTCAGAGGGAGCAAGAGGGACAGAAATCCCCCATGTAATTCAGTTTCCCTCTCCCCGTTTCAGTTTGCTTTTAAAAGGCATTTTTGCATAAGGTAGAGCATCCTCACAACTGAGAAGGGATCTCAGCCAGGTGATGAGGAAGGCTTGACCAACTGGCCCTGATACCTAACCCATGCCTGCCCCTCTTTGGAGTTTCTGAGCCAAAGCTGCTGAGCCAGATGGGAGGAGGAGAGGAAAGATTTGTTCCCACAGGTGATGTGAAAAAACCCCAAAAACATCAGAGAAGGATTTGCAAAAATCCTCTTCATTTTTCCATCTTCCCTTGCTCTTCCAAGCCTAGAAAAATCCCATTCAGTATGACATTAAACCTGTAAGAAGCCCTGTTCTCTTTTTAGTCAGATGTTGCTGAATAGTTTAGAGCTCTGGTTTCCAAGTCCTGCCCGAAGCTGCTTAACCTTCACTTGCTTCGTTGCAATCCCCGTGTCTTGAGCTGGAGTTTCAGCATTGACAGTTGAAAAGAAGATACTATTTTTAAAATCAGGCTCTCCGTTCGTGTTTTGCGTACTTCCTAAATAATCCCAAAGATTCAGATCTCTGCGTGCCCAACCCTGCCACCCTCTGTGCCCAAAAGAGTCACAGCCCTGCCTCTGCAGCCAGAGAACATCACCAGCATGGAAAATTCAGCAGAGCTCATGCAGTTACAGGATGAAAGGAAAATGAAGGTTTCATGTGTGCAGTTGGTGCTCTCCTGCACATTGTGCAGCTTTAAAAAATCCAGTATTTTAATCAGAATGAGCAAAGTGTATGGTCCTGTTTAAAAGCTTTCTAAGTGACAGGTTACAGCTGAAGAAGAGTCAACACTTTGTGTGATGTTATTCAAGTGTCAGTGCAATGTACAGCCTGAAAAAAATCCACATCATTGAAAAATACTCCCTTCTCACAGGAGCGATTGAGATGGCCAGTGGAGATTCTGCTAGGACACTGGAAGACGCCCCACCAGCAAAGCCATGACGGCTCGCGGGGAGCGTCAGCCTCTTCTAGAAAGTTAAAAGTATCTAAACATA